AGAGAATTTTTTATTTCAGTTTTTATTTCTTTCATTACATTCCCAGTGGGTCAGATGTTTACATACACTCAATTAGTATTTGGTATCATTGCCTTTAAATTGTTTAACTAGGGTCAAACGTTTTGGGTAGCCTTCCACAAGCTTCCCACAATAAATTGGGTGAATTTTGGCCCATTCCTCCTGACAGAGCTGGTGTAACTGAGTCAGGTTTGTAGGCCTCCTTGCTCGCACACGCTTTTTCAGTCCTGCCCACACATTTTCTATAGGATTGAGGTCAGGGCTTTGTGATGGCCACTCCAATACCTTGACTTTGTTGTTCTTAAGCCATTTTGCCACAACTTTGGAAGTATGCTTGGGGTCATTGTCCATTTGGAAGACCCATTTGCGACCAAGCTTTAACTTCCTGACTGATGTCTTGAGATGTTGCTTCAATATATCCACATAATTTTCCTTCCACATGATGCCATCTATTTTGTGAATTGCACCAGTCCCTCCTGCAGCAAAGCACCCCCACAGCATGATGCTGCCACCCCCGTGCTTCACGGCTGGGATGGTGTTCTTCGGCTTGCAAGCAACCCCCTTTTTCCTCCAAACATAACGATGGTCATTATGGCCAAACCGTTCTATTTTTGTTTCATCAGACCAGAGGATATTTCTCCAAAAAATACAATCTTTGTCCCCATGTGCAGTTGCAAACCGTAGTCTGGCTTTTTTATGGCGGTTTTGGAGCAGTGGCTTCTTCCTTGCTGAGCGGCCTTTCAGGTTATGTCGATATAGGACTTGTTTTACTGTGGATATAGATACTTTTGTACCCGTTTCCTCCAGCATCTTCACAAGGTCCTTTGCTGTTGTTCTGGGATTGATTTGCACTTTTACGTTCATCTCTAGGAGACAGAATCTTGGCTGATTTCTTTAGATTTTCCCATGATGTCAAGCAAAGAGGCACTGGAATTTTCCAAGCTATTTAAAGGCACAGTCAACTTAGTGTATGTAAACTTCTGACCCACTGGAATTGTGATACAGTGAATTATAAGTGAGATAATCTGTCTGTAAACAATTGTTGGAAAAATTACTTGTGTCATGCACAAAATAGATGTCCTAACCGACTTGCCAAAACTATAGTTTGTTAACAAGAAATGTGTGGAGTGGTTGAAAAACGAGTTTTCATGACTAACATAAGTGTATGTAAACTTCCGACTTCAACTGTAGCTTCAGGGCAGTTTCCTCATTTGCATAAGAGCAGACAACTGTGAGGGAAACAGGCTCATACTCTGAGTGTAGTCCACTGTGGTGCTGAGACAGAGGCATTGACGAGTCACAGCAGGGAATTGCTGCCTGGCAGGGAGGAGTAGGGTTCCATCTGAAGAGAGAAACTATGCAGAGATTCTCTATCAGAAACACACCTACCTAGCTGGTATTCAAATTGTAGCCTGTTCTGGTTCTAGATGCTTTTGACCTACATGTTTTCATTACCTCAGGATATGTTCAGCCTACTGTGCAAGTAAATAAATACCTTTCAGAGACCAGTGAACAAACAATATTGACACAGGAAAAACCTGTGACAAGGGTCTGGTTTAAGGAAAAGAACACAAGGGTAATAAATACTATACTCTTTATTTAAATATTTTACAGCTTTGAAAACATGTTTAACAGAACCTGTCTCTGCATTGTTGAACTGTACACACAAAATATAGATACATGCATCTCTCATTGTAACAAACTTAGCTTTTTGAACTGAAGTCTAGAATTGGCCAACAGAACAAAATTGTCAGGTCACTAGGCCAGTGGAGAGCCGGACATGGACATCATGGGGAAGCTAGCTTTGATATAGTGCCATCTGACAGGGAAGATTGCTTGTACTTTAAGGCTGGTGAGGTTATTGGCAACCTCTAGTGCCATAATGCTTACAAAAACATTTGGGTCATCCAGTGCAGCTGCCTTTCAACTACCAGCGCAGTAAGAAAGGTATGCAGGGTATTGTGCTTTTGGTTCTTTTTTTAATGATTTAATGATAAAACACCGGATAGCGGTACCGGCATATCTATTATTTTCCTAGTTAGGGGAGAGCCCTTGAAGCAGGACAGTAGCCTGCAGTGAGGGAGCACCATTACATCAATAAAAAGAACACCAAGGGTACTACAGATGATACACAGAATATTAAGGATTCTAAGATCATGTCATGCTTTTTCAACCCTTAAAAAAATAAAATAATTGCTTAATCATTCACATTTTGACATGTCCCATGGTGAAAGGCATTGAACACATTGAAAGGGAATGAGAGGTCTCCAATCAGATGGCGCAAATTAATTATTAAGACAGCAGGGCATGATGAGAAAAGTAAGCGTGAATCATATGGCTACTTGTCAGTTTCTGCTCTGTGTTCAGTAGCTGACATAGTGGGGGGGGTTTAGGAAACAATAGGATACATCATTTTGCCAATATCAATAGCATCTGATACAAGGCATCAGCTCCACAATGTATAAATCAACATGTGCATAGTAAATGTTACTCTTAAAATGTTGCTGTACACAAGTAATGTAAATGCACAGTGCATTTGACAGCAGCAACAAAAAGCAACAAAAATGAAATGAAGTTATCAGCCATGAAAGAAAATGAAACCTGCAATTAAAGATTAAATAAACAAAAGTGACCTGATTATTATGACTTAATGAAATGTGCTATTGTAGCTTTACAGCAGGGACAACTGATGAGGAGAGACAAGGAAATGCTGATTGTGAACAATTATTCCTAAAGCTAAATTGAAGCTGTGTGCAGTCCAGATTCCCACCAAACAAGTTATAAAAAACATATGCTTGGTCACCTGACCAACATCCACTGTGAGCTTTCAGATATGCTTTCTTTACCCTTCTGTGTAAATGGTCGTTACCATTGCATCCCAGTGGATATTGAAGAAAGCAGTGTAGCCTAGATAAAACCCATCCATTCCGCATGAATACAATATAAAACAGACAGGCTGGAGGTTACTCTATCACACATAATAACCTTCCACATCACTTGCAGTCACACTCACACCCTTTGTATCACAGCAGGAGTGAGGACGGGTTTAACAGAAACATAAAGTCGAAATGTCCCATCCTTAGAAACAATTAACTTGGTCTATGTACAACCCAAATTGTATTCAATCAATCAAATGTATTTTATAAAGCCCATTTTACAAGAGCAGTTGTCACAAAGTACAGATTCCCAGCCTAAAACCCCAAAGAGCAAGCAATGCAGATGTAGAAGCACAGTGGCTAGGAAAGACTCCTAAAAGGCAGGAACCTAGGCAGGAACCTAGGAAGAACCAGGCTCCGAGGGGTGGCCAGTCCTCTTCTGGCTGTGCCGGGTGGAGATTATAACAGTACATGGCCATTAAGGCCAGATCCTTCTTAACAACGTTTAAACGTTCATAGATGACCAGCAGTCAGATAACCACAGTGGTTATAGAGGGTGCAACAGTATAACACCTCGGGAGTAAATATCAGTTGGCTTTTCATAGCCGAGCATTCAGAGGTTGAGAGAGAGAGAAAAATAGTTGAAAACAGCAGGTCTGGGACAAAGTAACACATCCAGTGAAACAGGTCAGAAACTGATATGGCAAAGTATGCAGCAACTGCACCTGGTTTCCATACAACCCATTAGATCAGTCAAACAACTTAAAATATCACATACAGTCCCTTGCCCAAAAATCTACCAAAACATTTCAACAACATCCATTCACATCACATTGACGCATGCCCTTATGCCTGCATAAAAATGTCACCCTTCAATTTACCTTTTTTTGTATTAATTAGATTTGGTTTAATCTGAGTCACTGAAAGTGACATTTTTCATGGCCTTATTATTCAGACTTGATGGTATATCTTTCGGATTCTCCTGCCTGTGAGTTGTATAACTTTATGCAGCTCACTCCACCCATCCCTGATGGTGCCAGAGAGACTGTCTCCCCAAACCCAGTGACCTCTGCTACCAGGCCACCAATAGGGTGCTAGAGGGTAGGACACCTGACAGTCCTTCTGCCTGCTCAGGTCAGAGCCTCCTCAGTCTCTCTCCAAGTGGACAAGAGTGAGTGATGTTATTGAAACTTGAGGATTTACTGTTGGTTGTTACTATTACTAGTTGTTAATAGTAGTTGATGCTATGTGTTATACAGTCCTTTGCTTATGTCACCATCTCCTTATACAGTCAATATTATTGCTCGTGCTATTACTCCTTTATTCTCATGCTGTGTTTATTATGTACAGTATATTCATTCCCATCTCTTCTCTGTACAGAACCACATCCATCTCATATGTCCTCTGGAACTAAAGTTCTCTATTGTGGATAACTCTCTGTGAGGTTGCCTTATTCTTCTGACCGGGACAGGTGTCAGTGAGTCACAGACCAGCCTAACTGGAGAGCTGCTCTCTTAAAGTATAGTATGCTGAGGTTACTTACTGTCTTGAATCAGCTCAGTTCCTGTGATTAACACTCACTGGCATGATCCACAGATTTTAATTCCTGACTCAATCACCTTTTGACTGGCTACTCTTGACCTCGTTTCTTAATCTCTACCTTCTGGGCTTTGTTTTAAAGGCCAAAATAACAGACTTATCCCTATCATGTGAGAGCCAGAGTTTCATCTTCAACACGAACTACGTCCTTTATCCCACTGAACAGGGATTAGGTCAATGACAACTGGACATTTTCCAAGATAGATACTTTGCAGCAGGTAGCCTAGCAGAGAGGTGTCAGAACAACCCTCTGCTTTATTCATCCATGTCTTCAGGCTATTAAAGATTAACACTCAGTTGTGATGGTGAAGTCAGTGCATGTATTGTCAAGTGTTCCATCGGAGAGATGAGCCTGATTGAGTCCTGGAGGAATGCTGGTCTCAGGAGGGCAGCTCAGCCACCAACATCACTCCTTAATCCCCGCCAGCAGGAACCAAAGCTGTCTGACATCTTCAAGAGGCAGACAAGAGGAAACCTCTATTTCTCCTCCTAGCCTCCATACAGTCTCTAGTCTGTGTACTCTGTCACTATTGACAGCAACACAGTGATGTCATCTGGCTTTCCTCCTGTGGGGACGAGAAAGAGATGCAGTCAGGAGGATGAATAAATGGACTGAGTTTGGGAACAATGTCATTTTCATTATCCCTAAAGGAAGGAACACTATCAACCAAGAAGGGATCAGTCACTTCTTATTCCTCTCTGGGTGACATTCTCCCTGAAGCAGGGCAGCAACGGAGCAAATGGACTGAAATGAGGACTACCTTGGCTTTGTCTCCAATGTCCACGCACATGAAGAAGTGATAATCATTACCTCTTACATTCAGTCCATTGTCACAGGCAAACTGTGCAAAAGGCGACATGTAGTTGTGGTCGTATGCCAGAACATGGGCCTGCTCTGCAATGCTCCTGGCTGTCTGCTGGATACTCTCATAGTTGGTGTTCTGCAAAAAACAAAATATTGAGGCTAGTGTGTTAGCATTTTTGGAATGTCTCGTTCCTCCACTTCAATAGTCTGCTGACTGTAAACATGTTTGTTGCACACAGGTACTGCAAAGATTTATGTGATGGTGTACCTTGAGTTTTTTCAGCTCCTGTAGGATCATGTAGTCGGGCATGTTGTCGAAGAGGCCGTCTGTGGCTGTGAGAATGATGTCCCCCAACAGGACGTTAAAGGAGGAGCTGTCTGCAGCATCAGGACTGAGGGGGCACAGAGAGACACAGAGTCAATATGTAAGTCTTAAAAGAGCATATCAACACAATGTAGGGAAATAACAGTCTTGTGGCGCATTAGTTACCTGTCTTGATTATACAGTGCCTATTAGAGAGAAAAAAGTGCTTAACCAAACTGCAGCCAATAGCCCCTCCCTCATACCCCCCTCCAGGAAGGAAATGTGTCCTGTCTGAGCCCAGTTTAATAAGTGCCTCTAGCCCTTCCCTAGATCACTGACACACTGCTGCTCAGTCTCCTGTCTGACTATGAGACTTAAAACACACACACACACACACACCTCAGGGTAGACATGGCTATAGATCACCGTGTCAAACACTGGAATAAAGTATTGAAACGCAATGCCATTTTAGATTACAACCATCACAATTTTTTCAGCTGTGAAATGCTGCTGCTAACAAAGACCAAATATTTACATGGCTCAAAGAGAAGGAATATAATATCTATTGTATACAGGAAACTCATTCAACAATTCGAGATGAAGTAGCGTGGAAAAAAGAATGGGGGGGGGGGAAATATACTTCTCCCATGGGCAAAGAAATTCAAAAGGGGTGATGATATTAATTAATAGTAATTTCGATCCGAATGTGCAAATTGTCCAAATAGATACGCAAGGTAGATGGATTATTTTAAATATGTTATTGGACCATAAACAGATATGGCTCATTAACCTTTACGGACCAAATAAGGATGATCCACAATTCTTTGACAATATATATAATAAATTATCAAGCCTGCAAGCAACTCAAGACAATATTATTATGGTGGGGGATTATAATACTGTTTTAAATAGCTCAATGGACCGAAAAGAAAATCACACCACAAACAATCACCCACATGCTCTTAAGGAAATTGTGAATGTCATGGATACATTAGAACTAGTAGATATATGGAGGCTTAAATATACTGATCTAGTGAGATATACATGGCGGAGACTGAATCAAGCTAGTCGTCTTGACTTCTTTCTTATCTCATTCTCGTTGGCACCAAAAGTTTAAAAAGTGTTGATAGGGGACAGTATGCGGTCGGACCATCATATAATAGGCATATACATTACTCTTACTGAATTTCCACGTGGGCGAGGATATTGGAAATTTAATCAAAGCCTATTGGATGATCATTTATTTATAATTAGAACAAAGGAATGTATAACTGACTTTTTCCAACATAACATAGGTACAGCGAATCCCCTTATTGTATGGGACACCTTTAAATGTGCCTTTAGAGGCCATGCAATTCAGTACTCATCTCGAAAACAAAAGCAATTTAGGTCAAAAGAGTTTATACTAAGAAAGGAAATAGAAAGTCTAACAGAACAGATAGATGGCAATAAAAACTGTAACATAGAGGCTCAGAATAAATTAGAGGAAAAACAAAAAGAAATGGAGAAACTTATTCAAGAAAGATCAAGTGTAATATATTATAAAAATAAAGCAAACTGGATGGAATATGGGGAAAAATGCACAAAATTATTTTTTAATCTTCAACATAGGAATGCTACCAAAAAGAACTTAATGAAACTGGTTACAATTGACGGAGTCACCCATAATTCACCAAATGATATTTTGAAGGAAGAAACAAAGTACTTTAAGCATATGTTTTCTTTTCAGTCGCCTCCATCTCCTCTAACTGAAGCTAATTGTAGAGATTTTTTTTCTATTGATAATGTCAAATTAACAGCCACACAGAAAGACTCATGTGAAGGTGAAATTACAGAGGAGGAACTTCTGGATGCAATTAAAGACTTTAAGTCCGGGAAAACTCCAGGGTTGGATGGCATACCAGTCGAGGTATACCAAACCTTTTTTGATATACTAAGAGGACCGTTATTAGCATGTTTTAACCACTCCTATGTAAATGGTAGATTATCTGACACTCAAGAAGAAGGTCTGATCTCATTATTACTGAAACAGGATACAAGTGGAAAATATAAAGATCCAGTCCATTTACAAAATTGGAGGCCCCTTACACTTCAGTGTTGTGATGCAAAAATCCTAGCAAAATGTATAGCGCATAGAATTAAAAAGGTATTGTCGGATATTATTCATTCTAATCAGACAGGTTTTTTTTTACATGGAAGATACATTGGAGATAATATAAGGCAAGTATTGGAAACAATAGAACACTATGGAAAATATGGGAAACCAGGCCTGCTATTCATAGCAGACTTCGAAAAGGCATTTGATAAAGTTCGACTGGGGTTTATATATAAATGCCTGGAGCATTTCAATTTTGGAGAATCTCTTATAAAATGGGTCAAAATCATGTATAGTAACCCTAGGTGTAAAATAGTAAATAATGGCTATTTCTCAGAAAGTTTCAAACTGTCAAGAGGAGTGAAACAAGGTTGTCCACTATCGGCATATCTATTTATTGTGGCCATCGAGATGTTAGCTATTAAAATCAGATCCAATAATAATATCAGAGGATTAGAAATACAGGGCTTAAAAACAAAGGTGTCATTGTACGCAGATGATTCATGTTTTCTTTTAGATCCACAACTAGAATCCCTCCACAGCCTCATAGAGGATCTAGATACATTTTCTAACCTCTCTGGATTAAAACCAAATTATGACAAATGTACTATATTACGTATTGGATCACTAAAAAATACAATTTTTACATTACCATGTAGTTTACCAATAAAATGGTCTGATGGTGATGTGGATATACTCGGAATACATATCCCAAAGGAAATAAATGATCTCACTTCAATAAATTTTAATAGAAAGTTAGCAAAAATAGATAAGATCTTACTACCATGGAAAGGAAAATACCTGTCAATTTGTGGAAAAATCACCCTGATTAACTCTTTAGTATTATCCCAGTTCACCTATTTGCTTATGGTCTTGCCTACGCCTAGCAAACAGTTTTTTAAATTATGAGAAAAAAATATTCAATTTTATTTGGAACGGCAAGCCAGACAAAATTAAAAGAGCATATTTATATAATGAATATGAATTCGGAGGACAGAAATTATTAAATATTAAAGCATTAGACCTATCACTAAAATCTTCAGTCATCCAAAAGTTATACTTAAATCCGAACTGGTTCTCAAGCAAATTAGTAAGATTGTCTCACCCACTGTTCAAGAAAGGCCTTTTTCCCTTTATTCAGATTACAACCTCTCACTTTCAGTTATTTGAAAAGGAAATAATCTCCCAAATGTCACTATTTCTAAAACAAGCCATAGAAAGTTGGTTGCAATTTCAATTTAATCCTCCAGAAACGACAGAACAAATAATGCAACAAATATTGTGGTTAAATTCAAATATACTAATTGACAAAAAACCTTTATTTTTTTGACAGAATGTTTAAAAAAGGTATAATCTTCGTAAATGATATCATCGGTAGGACTGGTGGAGTTATGTCGCACATGCAGCTAACAAAAACATATGGAAATGTCTGCTCTACCCAAAATTACAACCAAATAATTGCAGCCTTACCGCAAAAGTGGAAGAGGAAAGTGGAAGGGGGAGAAAGTAAGGAACTTGTCTGTCGGCCTTGCATTAAAGAACATAATTGGTTAAGGAAAACTGTGATAAATAAAAAAGTATATCAGTTTCACTTAAGGACCAAAGGATTGACAGCCGTCCCATATAGATTGCAAAATAGTTGGGAAGACATCTTTGACGTACCGATCCCATGGCATAGTGTTTATGAACTGACACGCAAAACGACACCGGATTCAAAAATTAGAATCTTTCAATTTAAATTATTATATAAAATTCTTGCTACCAATAGAATGTTATTTATATGGGGGATACAATCTTCCCAGCTCTGCAGATTTTGCTGTGAAGAGACAATCATTAGATCATTTGTTTTGGTTCTGTCCATTTGTAGCTTGTTTTTGGACACAGGTCCAGGAATGGCTAAAGGATTGCAATATTTACCTGGAACTAACCTTGCAGATAGCATTACTGGGTGATCTGAAAAGTCATAGTCAATCAATCAATAATATAATAATACTTTTAACAAAAATGTTTATTTTTCATTCACAATCTGTAGAAGCAATGAGAATAGAAAGGTTCAGAACTTTTGTAAAACATCACAGTACGGTTGAAATATATATGGCAAATAGAAATCCTATATGGATGGTGTTAAGAGATAGATGGGAGGTATTGAATAGAGTTGAAGGATGGGACTAATAACAAATAACAACAAATAATAACAAAGATAGCTAATAATGTAAGCATACTGTGTCCATAATAAGTATATAGGTTGTATGTTGGGAGCTTTTGGGAAAGAGCACAGTTAGAAAGATATGGCATATAGAAGCAAACCGGATGGACATCATGAAAATGATCGGAGAGGTTGAGAGTAGAAGAAGTTCAGGAGCAAAAAATAAAATATATATATATAATAGAATTATTGTAAAATTAACTGTGTCCATAAGGTGTAGATAGTAAGTATAGACTGGAAGTAGAGGCCTGGGCATTGTTGTTCACTAATTTACTCCAAGTAGGGAAAGGATGGTGGGGTTGAAAAGTAATAAAGGGGAATATATATATAAAAAACATGGGGGATTGGAAGTGATGCAGACAATTACATTGATAGAAGATACAATCTATCTGCAATATTAAGCTGATCCATTCCCCCCAGAAGAAAAAAAAAAGACCAAATGGCATAGGTATGATGGAAAATAATTCAAGGAAGTCACATGTTCCGAGTTTGGAAAGAACACCTTGGTCGTCATGGGAAGTTCTAAGGAACTGCTGTCATGGTGATGTGAGACGGTGATACACATATAGATCAGAGCCAAGTTCAGTGTCAAGTTAAGTTCTTGGAAGGCGGCCTTAATCCTCTCTGTCCCAGACTCCCCGCCAGTCATGGTTGTTATACAAACCATTTGTAACCCAGCAGTCTTTCCATCTACAGTATTTAGTAATCATGATTACGGAATCACGGATTTAGCTCTAAATAAAACAATGAACATCTTGTCTGCCCACCTACTAAAGAGGAATCACAATGCTTATGACCCTGCATATGATACTATCAAGGGGAAAAAATGCTGCTGCCTCTAGCTCATGGAAAGTTGTTAATTTCCAGCCCATATATACACGACAAGGCAGAACCAATGCTGTGACTGAGGCAGAGGGGCTTTGTGTTTCAAAACCAAACCAACAAATGGCTACACAGCTTCTTTACAATACAAAATATGGCTTCTGCAGAATACACAGAACTGACCTGTCACTAAGGACAGCCCCCTCTGCCTCAGGCGGGGCGATGGAGAGCTGGAAGGGGGTGTTGAAGTAATGCTGTTGTTCGTCAGAGCGGTGCACTACCTCTCCTCCCCGCACCACCAGGAAGCCAGAGTCTCCCAGGTTGGCTGTGTGTAGCCTGTGACTCTGCCGGTCCAGCACCACGATACAGGCCGTGCTGCTGCCTGGAGGGAAACACAACACAAGAGGATAAATATTGGTGGCACGCCCTACATCCTGATTCTATCTGTAACTAATGAAGTTGAATAGATCAATTGGTTGTTAGGATGATTTATGAGTAGTGTTTTCACTTGGTTCCAGGCATGTCAATACATTTCAGGAAGATAAACGTTTTGGAAGGATAAAATTGAAGGAAACATAAAAGTTAACTGAACCGGCGAAAACATGGCTCTGCGTGCAGCCACACCCTGCTGATGAATCATCTAGTCTGGACCACCAGAATGTGCTATGGGAGCTCCATATAACCCCCTCACGTTCTATGACTCACTCACTCCCGTTCTTGTGTTTTTCCAATAGTAATACAATTACTGCTGGCCTCATAACCGCAATGGAAAAATACAATACTGACTTGTTTTTCTCTTCAACATGCGAGATGGGATGAAAAAGTACAGACTGCCGAGACAGACCGTTCTCGACTCCTTACTCAGTTCTTTCTCCCACATGTTTCTGCATGCTTCATTCTAGCAAAGCACCGTGATCAAGACAAGAGATTCTGGAGCTGAGTTGCAGGCAGTAGGAATAGGCTACTACTAGTCTTTACATAGCAATAACAAAAAATAGTAAGAGGCATGCAGCAGCTCTCTGACTCATGATGCTAATACCTTATCTAAATAGTAGCACCCCATGCCACTTAGCCTAACCACACAGACTGAAAACAGCCCATCCCAAGACTGTTCCCTCTACTGCAGGGGTTCCAAAACCTTTTGGGCATACAACACTTTTTTGATATCTGAAAATTATCATGATCCCAACCATGTGAAGAAAATGATGTACTTAACAGCCAATATTTACTTTTTTATTTGGGGCTATGGCAGTCAATTGAAAAACATTCTAACAGTATTTCTGATTGTCTTCTCAATTCACCATCACATACTGTGGGGCTATGACAGTCAATTGCAAATTAGTCTGACATAATGTATCTTATCTCAACACCACTAATGAGATGGGTGTGCTTGATGCATGTCACGTTGAAGCTTCTCAAAGTCATGGGGCGTGGTCGACAGTGCGCACCTCATCTCTGCTCTCACATCCAACCTGGATCGATGTTTGGTTTTAAGACGAGAGCACTGATGGTGCTTTCAAGACAACTGGGACCTCTGAAAAATACAAGGTCAAATCATGACGTCAGTGATCTTCAGGTCGGAAAGTTGGCGCTCTGGGAAGAGACCGAGTTAGAAGCCCGAGTTGGATGACCGTTCAAAACTATTTATTTCCCCCAGTCGGAGATAGTGTCTCTCTCTCTCGAACCCACAACCCTGGCGTTGCAAACGCCATGCTCTACCAATTGAGCTACATGTCACCCATTGAGCACGTTTGGGATGCTCTGGATCGACGTGTACACAGCATGTTCCCGCCAATATCCAGCAACTCACAGCCATTGAAAAGGAGAGTGACAACATTCCACAGGCCACAATCAACAGCCTGATCAACTCTATGCAAAGGAGATGTGTCGCGCTGCATGAGGCAAATGGTCGTCACATTAGATACTGACTGGTTCTGATCCACGCCCCTACTTTTTTTTTTTTTTAAGGTATCTGTGACCAACATATCTGTATTCCCAGTCATGTGAAATCCATAGATTAGAGCATTATTTATTTATTTTAATTGTCTGATTTCCTTATATGAACTGTAACAGTCAAATCTTTGAAATGGTTGCATGTTGCATTTATATTTTTGTTCAGTATAGTTTACAATCAAAGTTACCTGCTGCAGTATATCTCAGTTCTGTGCTCAGTTCTTTTGCCGCCAGTTGCTCTCAGTGTATCATTCATAACTTGAGTGCAGAGGCCTCCCCGCCATAGATGGAGCCCCATCTCTGCAAAAGCCCACCATTCGATACCATGGAATCTGTTTTTCGGCAATATAGCCACGCAGCACACTGAACATCGCCTGTGTGGTTTCATGCTCAGGAATCGTGAGACAGAACAATGTCCTTGTGAATAGCATCCCCCGACATGTATAGTGAACAAAAGTCAATGCATGGGCATCTCCGCCCTCACAGCCAACGTCCATTTGGAGAGCATAAGCTGGGGAGTTTGAGTCGTTCAGTCAGATTTCCTCTTGATCGCTAGCAATAGTATAAATTATTTGTTTAACAGTGTTATCGTACAAAGGTATTGATGTGAGTTTCTGTGCCTCTGCCTCCCCACACATTGTTTTCACCATATCAATTGCAGCCGGTAATATCAACGTCTCTGCAATAGTGTGTGGTTTCATAGTGTAGCGGGCCTAGCCATTCACCGTGGGAATGATTCAAGTGCAATGGTCAAGTGCGGCGTTTTCCCGTGCTCTCTGGTTGAATTTTATCTTTTAGATTTGAATAATTGTCAGTGTTCCATCGGAGAGATGAGCCTGATTGAGTCCTGGAGGAATGCTGGTCTCAGGAGGGCAGCTCAGCCACCAACATCACTCCTTAATCCCCGCCAGCAGGAACCAAAGCTGTCTGACATCTTCAAGAGGCAGACAAGAGGAAACCTCTATTTCTCCTCCTAGCCTCCATACAGTCTCTAGTCTGTGTAACAGATTCCATGGTATCGAATGGTGGGCTTTTGCAGAGATGGGGCTCCATCTATGGCGGACAGGCCTCTGCACTCAAAACAGTGATCCTCAAGGGCTGGCTTTACTCACCTAGCAGAGGCACTTTGTTCTGTAGGAGCTCATAGTAGCTGCTTGTGAGGACGCCCACTGGGTTGCTTGGAACAAAGCGTCCCTCTTTTACCAGCCGCTCACACGTCTTCATCAGGGTCCCTGAAAACTGTGATGGGTCAACCCCGTAGTCTCTCCAACCCCCCACTCCATCTGCAACACCTAAGGAAACCACAAACAATTAGGTTAAAAAGAGGATAAGAGTATAGGAAAGAATCAGGATTGGATTATGATTATTCTTAACACTCCTAACACTCTTGTGTCTCAGGTGAAGAGGGTGGATCTGATCTCCATCACCTAGGACTTGACATAGATTAAGTAGATTAATCAAATCTCACATTGTTGTCAATTTCTGCTCAATTTGCATGCTTTCTCAATCAGCTTTAACTGTATGTGCACTCGTAGATCAAATTATTTCTCGAGTTGGGCTCTGGGATATAACAGCCGTTGAGTATCGGATTTTATGGTGGATTGTGGAGGAGGGGGGTTGAGTGTGTTGGAGTATGTGAGTATGTGCGTGTGTGCTGGTCTGGCATCTGTTGTGGGGGGGGGTGGGGATGTTGGGGGGGGGGGGGGGGGTATGGGATGGACCGCGGGAATTATTTGCTAGGATAATAATTGCTTGTCAATGAATTAAATGTAATACAATGGCAATCCTGGTTATATGTTAGAATCCTATGCGTGAACTGCCGACATTATTACGCATATTAATTGATAATGATGGAAAATAGGATATGCATAATAAAAATAGTTATATAGAGATTATATATATATATATATATATATATATGAGGTGAAAGCATTGGAAATGCTTTTGGCGGTTAACCTGCTTCTGTTTTGTGGGTGGCACTGTGTGCTGTTTTCGATGGATGGGTCCTGGCCTCTCGGGGCCTTAGGGATACGGAGGGACGTGGGGGGGGATGCTGATCACTGGGATGACGGCTCAACTTGGGATGGGGAGGGGCTTTAGCGGGGGAATTAGTGGAGAACAATTGAAGGGTTACTCCGTAGCAATGCAAATATCACGGTACAGCTATATGGACACTCAATCATTACGCTATTTTTTATTGGTAAATTTACAAACATATATAATGATAAATAGACTTGAAACTTGTATCTCATTATGGTGTATGGTGAAATAAGTATAGCCAGTTATAATTGTAATGGCTTAGCTGATAATAACAAAAGAAGAACAATATTTACATGGCTCAAAGAGAAGGAATATAATATCTATTGTATACAGGAAACTCATTCAACAATTCGAGATGAAGTAGCGTGGAAAAAAGAATGGGGGGGGGGGGAAATATACTTCTCCCATGGGCAAAGAAATTCAAAAGGGGTGATGATATTAATTAATAGTAATTTCGATCCGAATGTGCAAATTGTCCAAATAGATACGCAAGGTAGATGGATTATTTTAAATATGGTATTGGACCATAAACAGATATGGCTCATTAACCTTTACGGACCAAATAATGATGATCCACAATTCTTTGACAATATATATAATACATTATCAAGCCTGCAAGCAACTCAAGACAATATTATTATGGTGGGGGATTATAATACTGTTTTAAATAGCTCAATGGACCGAAAAGGAAATCACACCACAAACAATCACCCACATGCTCTTAAGGAAATTGTGAATGTCATGGATACATTAGAACTAGTAGATATATGGAGGCTTAAATATGCTGATCTAGTGAGATATACATGGCGGAGACTGAATCAAGCTAGTCGTCTTGACTTCTTTCTTATCTCATTCTCGTTGGCACCAAAAGTAAAAAAAAAAGTGTTGATAGGGGACAGAATGCGGTCGGACCATCATATAATAGGCATATACATTACTCTGACTGAATTTCCACGTGGGCGAGGATATTGGAAATTTAATCAAAGCCTATTAGATGATAATTTATTTATAATTAGAACAAAGGAATTTATAACTGACTTTTTCCAACATAACATAGGTACAGCGAATCCCCTTATTGTATGGGACACCTTTAAATGTGCCTTTAGAGGCCATGCAATTCAGTACTCATCTCGAAAACAAAAGCAATTTAGGTCAAAAGAGTTTATACTAAGAAAGGAAATAGAAAGTCTAACAGAACAGATAGATGGCAATAAAAACTGTAACATAGAGGCTCAGAATAAATTAGAGGAAAAACAAAAAGAAATGGAAAAACTTATTCAAGAAAGATCAAGTGTAATATATTATAAAAATAAAGCAAACTGGATGGAATATGGGGAAAAATGCACAAAATTCTTTTTTAATCTTCAACATAGGAATGCTACCAAAAAGAACTTAATGAAACTGGTTACAATTGACGGAGTCACCCATAATTCACCTAATGATATTTTGAAGGAAGAAACAAAGTATTTTAAGCATATGTTTTCTTTTCAGTCGCCTCCATCTCCTCTAACTGAAGCTAATTGTAGAGATTTTTTTCCTATTGATAATGTCAAATTAACAGCCACACAGAAAGACTCATGTGAAGGTGAAATTACAGAGGAGGAACTTCTGGATGCAATTAAAGACTTTAAGTCCGGGAAAACTCCAGGGTTGGATGGCATACCAATCGAGGTATACCAAACCTTTTTTGATATACTAAGAGGACCGTTATTAGCATGTTTTAACCACTCCTATGTAAATGGTAGATTATCTGACACTCAAGAAG